GTATACTTGGGAAACTGAGATTATTCTGTTTCTGTCTATCTGTTCCGATTATGCTATGTTATGACATGATATGGATTGTTCGGTCTTTGAGACCTAATAATTTCTGGTATGGAACAAAGTGCTGCAATGCGAGTCACCTCTAGAATCCGTGCGAGACACCTCTTGAGTCTATACATACATGAACTTGGCTTAAAGCCAATCTGGGCCTATGGCCATTCTGTATGATCTGTTAGGCCAAAGGCCAATCTGTATTTTCTGGTATGAAACAAAGTGCTATACGGGACTAAGTGCTACAATGTGAGTCACCTCTAGAATCCGTGCAAGACACCTCTTGAGTTCATACATTCTGATAAGGGCTGTATGCCATTCTAATAAGGGATGTATGCCATTCTGATAAGGGCTTAACGCCACTCTGTTTAAGGGCTCAATGCCACTCTGTTCAAGAGGTTAAAGTCGTTCGGATTAAAAACCGGGCCTATGGCTGTTCTTAAAGCAACTACATGATAAGTTTGAAATGAAAGTTTGAAAGGCCTAAAGGCCAGCTTGACATGAATGAATTGGGCCCAAAGCCGTTTGATGTATAATGTTCCAATGTATTTTCTTTATTTGATATCATTCACTGGGCTTTCGCTCACGCTTATTCATGTCTTTGTAGGTGAGCCAAAAGAGGTCCAGACCCAGCCCCAGTGAAGTCTATATGGAACAACCGAGTTTTGGAGAGTCAGCCATGCGTCTCACGCACGAGACTCGCCTTCGCCTTTTTGCCATTTCGTTCTATGTTGTCATGTTGGTGAAGTCTTTGTATGTGTCGGTATACAGTTTTCATGGATTGACTTAGCTTTGGATGATCTTGTCTGTATAGAACCTTATGTTACTATACTTTCTGTTGTGAGTTATTAACATATGTACGTATGGAATGTTATGATGTGCATATAAGTACGGCTCTATGGACAAAGTTTTAAATTGCTTCCGTTTGGCCCTCGTTAACTCTGTTAAAATTCGTCTGGTTTGGTTTGAGGCCGTAGGTAATCTCATGATTACTGGCCGGTTATGTCCTTAACCCACGGGGGCGGGCTCGGGTCGTGACAAGTAAGCATAAAGATGAAGTTTAGAGATAGTTTACAAGCTTTGAATTAGCCTATCAAGTGAGGAAAGATGAAGGTTTTTGTTCATGAAATTTAATCCAAGAATAATTATAAAATTTTGTTCTCTATTCAACATTTCCTCAATCTCATCAAGTTTAAACTTGTTTGTGTTGCACATCAAAGTTTGGCAACCATTTCTTTTGCTTGAGGTTAGAAGTCTTTCTTACTCTGTTTGTAGCGTTCCATGCATCTCTTGTATGCACACTCAACATTCTTGGTCCCATGGATGTTCAAGTTTTTTTGCTTTGAAACTATCAATTTCATTCACAAGGCAAATAATCTCGTATATAACATCTTCAAAGTTAGTCATGGTAAAGCCTTGTGCTCTTGAGGGGTGATTTGATGCCAATGTAGGAGAGAGGAAAGTTGCTCGAAGAAAGCTTGAATTTTTGCGTGAATGAGGGGATCAAGCTCTTAGTAGCAACATAAAACGTGATGAGCTGGATGAAATTCTTTTTGGAAACTTCTTGGAGAATTTCAAGAGGGGAGTAGGAGAAGGTGACCAACACTTCTTAAGCCTTCTGCTTTAGTTTTTTGGAGTTCAAGGGAAAATGACTTAAAGAGGGAGTAGGGGTGACCGTAGAGAATTCAAGATGTTCTCCAAAGACCCATGTCCCAAAAGATGAAATGGCATAGTCCATCAACCAACATAATATATTTTGAAATCATGCTAGTGCAAGGGATATGTTGGAGCCCAAAATTAAACCAACAAATGACTAACAAAGAAAGAGATCTTGGGAATAAAATTGGCAACACACACATACAATATGAGCATGAGGGGAAGAGGAAAGGTGCCACTACTGATAAAGGTAGTAAGAAATTATTTAGTACTTTTGGTGCAAGTCCAGATGGTGCTCCAAATCAATAGTTACTGGTTTAACTTGTAGATCATGTTGGTGGTAAGTCCTCATACCACTGTTGGGAAATTATGATAATTTTCTTTATAAACTCTGATATCATTTTGGAAGTGGAAGAGGGGAAAGAGACACAATATTTAACGTGGTTCAGCTTCATTGGCTAGGTCCACAGGAGAGTTACCATTTTCATTATATAATAGAAATTACAAAGAAATTACAATGGAGGAGGACTCTCTCTCTCTCTCACTCTACTCCCACTGAGCTCCCCTTCTCACACCGGAAAAGCTCCCTTCTTTGCCACAGAGAGTTAATCTCTCATTTAGCTCTCTGAACAGAGCAACTCTCTCAAACTCTCAAATTCTATTAGAATCCAATCTCCCACTCCTGAAGATGGTTTTATATTTCCCACTCCTAGAGATTACATTCTCTCATACTCTATCTAAAACAATCTCACAACCTATCTATTTATAGACTCTAAAACAGGATGTCAACATTAGCTGGAGAATTTCAATTTCTTCACTGTTTCATGGTGAAGCTTTGACCATAAAGGCTTCAAGGAAACTACCTCTTCATTCTTCAATCTTCTTTAAACTTCTCTCATCTTCTAGCTTTTCTGCTATTCTTTAAATTTGGATTCCGTAGCCTCCAAATGAATAATGATGGAGGTTCTAGCTTATTCTTCTCTAATTCAAATTGAGTTTGAGAACACATCACTTTTATGCTGGAGTACTAGGAGACAATGAGAAAGGTGTCAATTAGTTAATACAATTGAGCATTACTCTAAAAGTAATGAATACTTTCTCAAAGGCAAGTGTCAAGCAAGGATTAAATTTAACTAGAGTAGTGTCCTTTTGGAAAAGCTTCGAAGAAACTAGAGGTGCGTTGTGAACCATGTCAAAGCAGAGGAAGTAGTTAGCACTTGTTAACATTTCAAAATTTAATCTAGAGTACCTAAAGTAGCAGTTATAGAAATAGCGAAGCTTATTCAAATTCAAATTATGAAATGCCAACATGGAATGATCATGGGGACATGGAAGTTGTAAGCCTTTCAATGGTTACTATGAGAACAATGGAAGTCACCACTACAAATAGAAGATCAAACAAAGAAGAAAGGGACGAGACTCTATCAAATCCAACTCTAGTGTTACTTTCTCTTTTATAGGAGTGGTAATAGCAATGGCATCAAGTAGGAATAGTTTTAGTAATTGTAATCATAGGAGTAATGCAATTCAATGTAATTCATGAGTATGAATAGGGTAAGGTACTTTCTCCCCTTGTAATTTTAGTTATCTAATCAATTGCAATTTGTTCTTCCATGATCACTATTCTTTAATTTTATTTGTTTTTGTTTTTCCTTAATTGGTTCTTTTGCAAGTGACACTTCTTGGTTATTAAGTTATTTTCATTGAGGCAAATAAACCTTTAATACTTTGCTTGGTATAATCTAGGCTTGAAGCATTTTGTAAGAATTATTCAATCTTAGTTGTTACACTCAAATATTCAATTGACCTTTGAAAGAAAATTAAGCCAAAAAAACAAAACAAGAGTGTGTGCATTGGATGGATTCCAATTACCCAAATTATCCACACAAAACAAGATCCAATCACCTAAATTATCCACACAAAATAAGGTAGAGGTAAACATGTCTTTCCATATCAGGCCTGTTTGGTACAATTTTCTTTTTCAAGTTAAAAGTCAATAATTAGAAAACAAAAGTTAAAAGCACTCCACCCCACCACATATCATCTGGATATTGTACGAGCGCAAAATAATCTTCTCATATAATCCTGTTGATCAAGTTTGCACTCCTCCAAACAACGTTGCTTTGCCACCTGAAAAAACAAACGCGAGCTAACAACATTAGCTGGAGAATTTCAATTTCTTCACTGTTTCATGGTGAAGCTTTGACCATAAAGGCTTCAAGGAAACTACCTCTTCATTCTTCAATCTTCTTTAAACTTCTCTCATCTTCTAGCTTTTCTGCTATTCTTTAAATTTGGATTCCGTAGCCTCCAAATGAATAATGATGGAGGTTCTAGCTTATTCTTCTCTAATTCAAATTGAGTTTGAGAACACATCACTTTTATGCTGGAGTACTAGGAGACAATGAGAAAGGTGTCAATTAGGTAATACAATTGAGCATTACTCTAAAAGTAATGAATACTTTCTCAAAGGCAAGTGTCAAGCAAGGATTAAATTTAACAAGAGTAGTGTCCTTTTGGAAAAACTTCGAAGAAACTAGAGGTGCGTTGTGAACCATGTCAAAGCAGAGGTAGTAGTTGGCACTTGTCAAAATTTCAAAATTTAATCTAGAGTACCTAAAGTAGCAGTTATAGAAGTAGTGAAGCTTATTCAAATTCAAATTATGAAATGCCAACATGGAATGATCATGGGGACATGGAAGTTGTAAGCCTTTCAATGGTTACTATGAGAACAATGGAAGTCACCACTACAAATAGAAGATCAAACAAAGAAGAAAGGGACGAGACTCTATCAAATCCAACTCTAGTGTTACTTTCTCTTTTATAGGAGTGGTAATAGCAATGGCATCAAGTAGGAATAGTTTTAGTAATTGTAATCATAGGAGTAATGCAATTCAATGTAATTCATGAGTATGAATAGGGTAAGGTACTTTCTCCCCTTGTAATTTTAGTTATCTAATCAATTGCAATTTGTTCTTCCATGATCACTATTCTTTAATTTTATTTGTTTTTGTTTTTCCTTAATTGGTTCTTTTGCAAGTGACACTTCTTGGTTATTAAGTTATTTTCATTGAGGCAAATAAACCTTTAATACTTTGCTTGGTATAATCTAGGCTTGAAGCATTTTGTAAGAATTATTCAATCTTAGTTGTTACACTCAAATATTCAATTGACCTTTGAAAGAAAATTAAGCCAAAAAAACAAAACAAGAGTGTGTGCATTGGATGGATTCCAATTACCCAAATTATCCACACAAAACAAGATCCAATCACCTAAATTATCCACACAAAATAAGGTAGAGGTAAACATGTCTTTCCATATCGGGCCTGTTTGGTACAATTTTCTTTTTCAAGTTAAAAGTCAATAATTAGAAAACAAAAGTTAAAAGCACTCCACCCCACCACATATCATTTGGATATTGTACGAGGGCAAAATAATCTTCTCGTATAATCCTGTTGATCAAGTCTGCACTCCTCCAAACAACGTTGCTTTGCCACCTGAAAAAACAAACGTGAGCTAACTGGCGGGTGTGTGCCGAAAACCCCTCCGATGTCTAAGTCAGCAACTAGACAATAGACAATAAGCTTTGTATATTCTAGAGTAAGAATTGGTATACCTGTACATAGGTCTGGTCATGAGCTTTTGTAGACTTCACTTGGCACAATCCTAGTAGGATTCCAACTCTCCTTATAAGAGTCCTTCTAGGAATCACACACCTTACCCATTACCAATCAAGTGAGATGGTTTACACAATCCTAGTAGGACTTTACTCTCTTTAGAAAAGTCCTCCTAGGAGTCACACTTTTACTCACTACCAACCAAGTGAGATGGTTTGCACAATCCCAGTAGGACTCTAACTCTCCTTAGTAGAGTCCTACTAGGAGTCTCATGTCCACGGATAATGCTCACCCTTAGAATACCCTCATCACTGCAAGCCAAGTGAGATGGCCACTCCCTTTACCTCGGCTGACACCTTTATCTCGGCTGACATTGCGGTCAACCAAGTTATTTCGGCTCTGTGCTCAACTAAGTAATTGAATAGAAGTATCGACTGAGCTACACCTAGCTCGGCTCTCCATCTTACCAAACACCTCGGCCAGCCCTTGGGCCTAGTATTAGGTAGCTCGGTCAATGCCTTTGCCCAGTTTGGTACTCAAATAAAAAGGAACCGAGCTACTCAACGTCCACACTCCGGCTCTTTAGTTCGGCCCACAACAGAAATCAAAGGATCGTGACTCGGCCCAATTTTTCGTTATAAATTACCCTCTCAGATATGTTACTTTTCTCAAGAAGATATGTATTTCACATGATGGCAAAAGCTCTTTCCATATCACATGATGTACAAAAGCGAGTAAACTTGGGATGTTTTCTTTTTTATCATCAAAATTAAGCCAAAATTTCAAGCATATTGAAAGTTAAAGTTTAATTCGAAGACTAAAAAGGATTTGTCTAAGCCCGACCCTAATTTGACCTTCAGTCTTAACTAACTTGTCCAAACTTGAGCTTGCGTTTATCTCAAATAGTTTAGGCTAGGCTCACGATGTTCAAATTCAACACAAAAAATTCTCCAATTGTGCATTTAGTTATCATAAACCAAATGTGTTGCACTTTTTTAAAAAAGAAAAATATCTCAAAAAATTACCAACATTACCTAATAAGAAAACTAGTTTGAACTATGTGAACAAAGCAGTGTCAAATGGATTACATAGTATGAAATTGTGTATATATATATATATTTTCTAATTTTATACAATGACTAGAGAATTTGAGTTAGTTGGATTGTGAAAGCATATGCCTACACACTAACCGAATTTGATTTAGATTGACAAATTTTAATTCAGATCTTAATAAAATTTTTAAATTTTACGAACTCAACTTAGACTGCTCAAATTTTACTTTCTTGTAGCCCCATTATTTAGAAAAGTAATAATTTCACAAAATAAAAGCTATACAATATTAAGGATATAGTTTATAGCATGTTCACAACCGCACAATCAATAAAAGTGTTAAGAGTTATGCTCTATGAACAGAATATTCATACAAAATGAGTTATTTGTGGTATTTTATGTCAAAACAAAAATATTAACTAGCTAAAAGACTCAGTAAACACATCATTTTGAAATGGTTTTTAAATTTTTTTTTTTGACATTTTAAATCATTTTTAAAGTTTCCAGTACACGATTAACACATCAAACTAATCAACCATCTTATTACAATTTGTGAATCAAAAGGTCTGCAAATCATTCTAATGAACTTATTTTTAACAGTCTCAATGGCAAGACGGGCCTTATTCTTAACAAAATAAAAAGCAAACTAATTATTAAACAAAACAAAACATAATAATTTTTAACACCTGTTCTCTATCCTTAGTCCCCTAGAATTACCCCTTATTCTTCCTTCTTTAACCAAAGCAGCCCTAGCAGACAATATATTATTACTCTTCACCTTGGAAGCATCAAAGCCAGTGCAGTCTATCCAATCCTTGAGCAGATCCTCCTGACCCCATATATCCGGGATCCAAATCCGACCCGCCACCTCGACCCGGTGCCTCTTCAGCCTCTCACGCCCATTCACCTCCACCATTTCCTCATTATCACTGGCTGCTGGTGTGGTAGTAACTGCTGCTAAAGGCCTTCTTAATGCAGCTTCCTTGCCATCGGCGCCCGACCAGTGAGGTTTTGAAGATGGGTTTTGGGACTCAGTTTGATCATTATGAGTCTCAGACTCACTGGTGATGGCCTTTGAAGATAGAACCATTTTCTCATCATCATGGAATGAGTAAGTTTGCTTTGCCTCCATTGGTGAAGGTGACACTGTGGTGGGTTGTTTGTTCATGAATGAAAGATGTCTGTCCGCCTCCTTCTTCTTATCTCTCTCTCTCTCTCTCAGCCTTACTCTGTATTTCTTTGTTTCTTTGATTGTTGTGTTTTGGAGATAGATTACATGGGGGCTTTATGCGTGGGGAACAATAAAGAACAGCAAATGGGTGGGGTGTTAGTTTACACGTCACCTCTATCAAAGCTGTTTCTTTTTGTATGGTAAGTGACAAGTGTACGTGTCAAACGTTTTGTTTGGAACTGGTTTTGCATATTGTGTGGTTTAGTTCAAGTTTGATAATCCATGTGCCTTGAAAAACAGGAGAGAGTGAGAGATGGAGGTACGGGGTAGTTAAGAAAAAAACATTTTGTGGTCGAGGATATCATGTGATAATACAGCTCATCAATTACTAAATTTCACGCTAAATTTTACGGATAATTATTCAGTAATTTCGAAAATAAATACATGATATTTTTTAATATTATGATTGATAAAAAAAATAGGTAGGTGAGGTATTATATTGAGTGATTGGAAAATCTGATAGGACATATTGAATGATAATTAGTTAAGGAGTACGGACATGTGGTACTTTGAGAACATTCTATAATTCCTAAACATCATGTCTCTTATTATTTATTTATGATTTAATATAAAATCGTGAACTTTATTCTTTCGTTAATTACAAAATTTTTGAAGTATCATATGACCATATCCTATGATCACCAAATAACTTTTGTAATTAAGGGGTTGAAAGTGAGAGTGTTTGTGGTTCGGTTGAAGCCGGAAAACCTCCAAGTCATCATCTATCTGCCGGATTGGTGGATTGGAAAAAATCAATCATCATCTGTCCGCCGAATTAACGGATGCGGATTAAGCAGTTTGGCGAATTGGCAGATGGATGCAAATCGGTTTGGCGGTTTAAACTTTTACAAATTTTGAATATAATACAACAATTTATCAGCATTTTTTTTTAGATAACAATCCAACTCAACATAACCAAAAGATTATCAAGTAAATTGTCAAATACCAATAATAAATACGTATGAAAAAATCATATATTATCAAAACTATTTCATTATTTTTTTTATTAAAAAACTATTTAATTTGATTTAAAAAAAAAAACAAAATAAAGCCTTATATTTTCCACACAAAAATACCAACTATCAACATTTGTTATTTGATAAAATGATTTCCAAATTGAAAATACAATAAAATATTTAATTTTTTTTTCAATTGAAAATATAAACAGAATATTTAAATAAATTAAAAACACAAAGTCTTACAAATTTTAGGGATGCTCGCAGTTTGGTAGTTCGGTTGCGGCCAAAAGAACCTCAAATCCGTCATCCATCCAAAACTAGACGAATTAAAAAAAATTAATCCGCTCATCATTATGCATCTGTTCAAAATATAACGGATCAATTTGATTCGATTAATTTGGACGAATCGAAATATCCGTCGCTCACCTTTAGTTGAAAGTGATTCCTTGAATGGAGCCTTGGAAGATTGTTAGGTTGATGCTGATTTTGGAGGATTTGTGTGATTTTTAGCTTTTGGCCAAAGAGGGTCAAGATTTTGATTGGGAAAGAAAGAGTATTATTAGGAATATTATATGAAATAAAGTGACATATATGAGTAATTATTTTGTACTTTTACTCTTAGGTGATATCATGGATATGGACTTGGACTCATAATTTAACACAACGCTTAATATCATAAAATTATAACTCATCATAACATCATAGTATCCCTCATATGGTGGGACAATCAAATTTCAAGAGAGGAGTAAAATATAAAATGAAAGACTAAAGAGAGGTTTAGGCTAATTGATTAAGTTATAAAATTTATATAATTTTGTCAATTCATTCTATTAGTCCCAAGTGAATTCAAAAATGATATAAAATAAACAACTTAAAAAGATTGATAGTATGAGAACTAATAATTCTAAGAATACTAATTTCATCTAATCCAATCCATTCGAACAAATATGACTTTAAAGTATCAAATCAGTATGCTAATATGGTAATTCCGAATCAATAGGAGTACTACTACTGGAGTGAGTAAAGCCAACTTCACCCATATTGATCAATTGAATGAAAGATAAAGTCTCATCTATTTTATTGTGTGGTTTCATTGATCTAGAATACCGTGTATACACATACTTACATTGACACTTCAAAATTTTAAAGTAGTTTTCTAAGAGTAATACTATGTGTATCATATGTAAATTATGAATAAATGTTATAATTAAATCTTTTTTAGTGATAATTTAAATAAAATAAAATAAAAAAGACACAGTTATAACCAAACACAACATTGATATAATTAAAGATTTTATGGATTATAATTAAAATAATTTTCTAACCAATATCACAATGAGTCACAACTAATACTACAAGAGTCATAATCAAGTCATAATTAACACTACAATAGGTTATAATCAAATACCACAAATATCATAACTAGGGCATATGATACACATATTTTTAGAGTGTGTATTATAGAATTCTTCATTTTCTAATATATATACACACTCTACATTTAGGCAAATCCAGTGGTGTGCACCTCTTTAGAAGTGCATATATACCATATGTACCTTACTACAAAATTGTCTAATTTTATCACAAAATTTTGTAATATTAATTGCAAAATATGTAACTTCACTACAAATTGGTGTAACAAAAAATATTGTAACCAAGTCCCAAACTTTTACAGCATCAATCATAAAATTGCCACAAACTTTTGCAATATCAACTACAAAAATTTGGACATTTTTATTATGCCAATTTATGACAAAATTATGAATTATATGATTGATATTACGAAAATTTATAATAAAATAACACATTTTTATAGTAGAGTGCATATGATATATGATATGCATCCTATAACATTTCCTCTACATGTATATTAGTTTTATGAACATTTATGTGAGATAGAGACTTGTTTGGAGAGAGAGGATATATTTTATTCATACCTTAACTACCACTGTTTTTGTGTTACTGTAATGGTTGTCACTTGAAATTTGAAATCTCAACCCTCCCATTCCAGTTATTCTTTATTTTATTTTATGTTTTATGGCTAAAATCACCTACTCACATGCTTGCAAACCCTCATGTATCGAGTTGTATGCATGATTTTATGGCAATGCATTTTTTGGACTTATTGTGGACATCATATCACTATATGTACCAATCATGTTAAATGTGAATGTGTGCCGTTCATTCTAGGATCCAGACCATTCAAATAGATTTCAAGTACTGGCAGATAAATTCTTCACTAAAATTTAAGTCTTGAGATACATGACAAAAAGCGAAAGAGAGATTATAATTAGAGAAATTTGACTATAAACCTCTCTTATATTTTTTTATTGTTAAAAGGATTAAAAAAAAATTATACTTTTAAAATCTCCTCATAATTATAAAATTTTGTATAACAGACAAAATTTATTATTTAAATATTTTATCAGACTATTATATCCTCAACTAAATTTTCCTCTCATTCTCTCACTGCTGATCCACCACCACCTCCGCCGCTAGTCTCCCATTCTCCCACTCTTGCCGTTGCTCACCTCCCCTTCCTCTCTCATGGCCGATCCATCACTGCCTCCGCCGCTCATTACCGAGATCTTTATCAACTCTCTCTCTCTCTCCCAACTTTCTTCTCTGTGTTCATAGATCATAGATCTAGACTCCAAACTCTTGTCCCTCTTTCTCTTTTCTTAGTCTTATCATCATTATCTTCAACTACTTTCTCCGTCGAGTTCAGCTCCGTCGCCGTGTCCTCCGCTGCTCACGCGTGAGGTTGAGGTTGTTTTTGAGCTGTCTCTGAACAAATCTACTTCTCTCCATCGCCGCCGATCTGCCTCGTAACCACTATCCTCACCGGTCCTCCACAACCTCAATTTCTTCTCCTCTCGCTCTTCTTCAAGACGCTGTGCTACTGCTACTGCTGCTGTTGAGTCGCTGGCTGAAGAACACTGTTCGTAGAGATTTTCCACTTGAATGCTTGGAAGACGAAGCAGCAAAGGTAGTTGTAATACCTTCAAGAACATGAATCTGAGCTGTAGATGTCGCCTTGTTGTTTCCAGTTGGCTTTTTTTTTTTTTTTTTTTTTTTTTTTTTTTTTTTTTTAAGAGTAAAATTTGACTCTGGTTCGTTCATTTAGTATGTATTTTATTTTTTGTAACAATAAAATTTTACTCTGGTTAGAAACATGTTGATTTGCTTAACGATATAAAATTTTACTTTGAATCATAGTAAATTTTACTCTGATTCAGAATAAAATTGTACTTCAAAGTAAAATTTTACTCTGAAATACACTGTGAGGATGGCTTACTAGGAAAGCTGATAAATATGAGGGTAGTATAGTAAAATAAACAAGTTTTAAAATATTAAGAGATTTTGAAAGTACCTATATAATTCTTATCCTTTTGAAAGACAAATTAGACAAAGAAGGATCTATCACCAAATCTCCCTTATAATTATGTCTATACACTTATATATATATATATATATATATATGAGGCGTTTAGCTACTTGAGATTCGTTTTTTCTTTTCGATTTTGCTCTTTTATTTTGAATAATTTATTAATGGTGACCTTTATGTTGAGTGAAGGTTTTTTCGTAATTACGCAATGCAACAGGTTTTTTCGTCATTACGCAAACATTCTTGGTCAATTATGAAATAAGTCTTTTTCGTAATTATGCAAATATTCTTGGTCAATTATGAAACATAAATATTTTATTTTTTTGACAAATTACAAATGCACTCATAAAGTTTGTTTAAAATATGAATCAGTTTTTTTTTTTTTTTTTTTGATCGACAAAAAAAACTTTATTAATTATAACAATGTGGAACAAAGAAACAATCAATAAAGATGGGAAAGGGGAGCAGCAAGCTATCAATCTAGCTCCAAAACAGTTGGCGAGTGGCTCGAGCACACCCCCAGGTTAGTATGGAACCAACCAAAGAAAGAATGA